CAACCCCAGCATCCCGGCGCCCGCTGCCTTCCCCTCCCCACTCCCCTCCCTAAGAGCGGTGGGTGCTGATCTCCAGGGCCCCGCCGAGCCGGGCGACCGCGGCAGCCTGGCTTCCACAGGGCAGCAGCCTTGACTGCTCCCTATTTCGCTGCTATCTTCTCTGCCTGCTAGGATTAAAAAAAAAACCAAACCAGCAGCAATAACCTTCATGGAGGAGCCAGCCGCCGCACGGCCGCACCCCAGCTGTGTCCCACGGGGCAGGGAAACTGAAGCAGCAAGGATGGGGATATTCCCACCAGGACCCCCGGGAAAACACGAGCAGGGGAGGAACGAACATCCCAGCGCTGTAAAATCTGCCGAAAGCGGACGCCCTTCCCGGGGCGGTGTGGGGGAGGCTTCTCCTCCATCCCTGGCATTGGTGGGGCTGGAGCAGTGCGGGCCCCCGAACAGGAGAGCGGGGCTGAGATGGGGCTCAGAGCCATCACTGGCACTGAGGGGGGGACACTGGGCACAACCACCGTCCTTTGTGGCACTGCTGCCAGCAGCGGGCAAGAGCGGTGAAGCCCCTCTGGCACCCTGGACCCTCTCCCGGTGCACATTAGAAACCCACTGGGTTTCCTGGGTGACACAGCCCCTCGGGCACCCGTGGGTGCAAGCACAAATGCATCAGCCAGACCCAACCCAACCCCACCCGGGGCCGTACAGAGGCACCCGCGGTCCCAGAGGGAGGGGCAGTGCCCAAATGCCACCCCTCTCCCTTTCTCTCTCCCCAGGGCAGCTCCAGCGAGGCTCTCTGGACCCTCCCTTCGCCGCCCCCACGTCCTTCAGCCCTGGGGCAGGCTGGAAGACATCCTTCTCTCTAAGACAACATCCTTCTCTCTAAATTGGAGAGCTATGGATTTGATGGGTGGACTGTTCGGTGGATAAGGAACTGGCTGGATGGTCGCATCCAGAGGGGAGTGCTCAATGGCTCGATGTCCGGATGGAGACCGGTGACGAGTGGTGTCCCTCAGGGGTCCGTACTGGGACCGGTGCTCTTTAACATCTTCATCAATGACTTAGACAGCGAGATCGAGTGCACCCTCAGCAAGTTTGCGGATGACACCAAGCTGAGTGGTGCGGTTGACACACCAGAAGGAAGGGATGTCATCCAAAGAGACCTGGACAGGCTGGAGAGGTGGGCCTGTGTGAACCTCATGAGGTTCAACAAGGCCAAGTGCAAGGTCCTGCACCTGGGTTGGGGTAACCCCCA